TGTGATCCTGTGATGGGAGGAGCCCAGGGTGGAGGTGCTGTGGTGGCACGGTAAATGGAAACCCTGATAAAGACATTCTGGCTTGGTCATCCCTAAGGACTTACTAGTACTCAGATTCATCGGGAAGCCTTACGTACCACTCACCCTATATGGTGCGGGACGGCCGGACTACTTGGTAGGATATTGCCACTACTGCTAGGTTGATAGCGGACAGTGTGAGGGAGGTACGAGGCACGGAGGATTTCCCCCACACCCTTCCGAGACTTCATGGAGACCTTGTGGACCCGGCTCATGACTCATAGTTTCAGCCACCCCAGACTAGACTTGGGGTGTACCAGGGCTGAATGGTAGAGTGGCATTATCCTAGGCTAGCAAGCGGCCGGAATCAGCCCAGTTGACGACGGCCAGTGAGGAAGGCGGATCTTATGGTTATGTAAAACCTCTGCAGAGTGTATGGTTGATCGATCGATACATATGCTGACCTATCGGCTATGGACCTTTCCTGGGTTTCGCTTAAACTAGATAGTGAGATGAGTCCTTCTCTTCTCCCCTGGGAGTGAGTGTTCGAACGTAGCCAGGGGCTACGAGCCTTGAGACAGTGCCGAGAGGGAGTTGGCCTATCGACTGAGCGATGGTATGGTGATGGTGTGGAGATGGTGGTATATCGATCCCAGGATCGAAGCCTGGCTCTGGAATGGGAATGGGGTGGAATGTGTGTGAGAATGGTGTTAAAACTTGACCGATCGTTATTATATACTTGATATGCTAAATACATAGGAAAGCAATGCTCATAGGGTGGGAGTGGCCAGTACAAATCGTACTGATAAATTTTGGCACACAGGTTCTGCTGAGGAGTATAGCTCCGAGGAGTTTGACGGTTGAGAGGTTCGTTCCTACGCTCAAGTTTGGCGATCTTATCTTCAAGCTGTTCTGAATGAGTGCTACTTTTGATTCCGCCAATGCGGCGATGTAATAATTTATGTAATTCCGCTCTATTTGTACTCTGATATTATCGTTGTATGGATGTGATATTTGACTGGAATTGGGTAAATATGATCTACATCGGTCTTATTACACTTCGACTTTGTGGATTTCCCTTCGCGGAAATCAGGTCGCTTCAGACGCCACCACGTCGGCGCTCACACCGCCATGTAGGCCCCGCATCGCCGCTGCTGCGCCCAAGCACGTGACTCAAGCACGTATGCACGCCCGCGCTCATGCGCACCGCCGCGCTCGGTGGGATGTTGTGGGTCGGCGGGCCTGGCCGCTCTGCTCTGCCGCTGTCATCGCGGGCCTGATGCCCTGGACAGTCCGCTGCCGCCTGCCTCGCTGTGTCATCGTGCCACAGCCCACTGCCATCGCGTCCGTCTATGCCTCTGCGTCGTTGCCGTCTCGATTTAGTGCAAAGAGCCTTGCCGAGGCCACCGCTTGTCGTTCGCCATTAATGGCACCACGATCGTGCTGCTGCGCTGCCATCGCCGCACGTGGGTATGCTCCCTCTCCTGGCTACGCTGGCTCGCATTGAATGCTCGGGTGCGGTCGTCACGTCCCGCCAAGGCTCTAGCAAGCAGCCGGACCCCGTTCCTTTCTTTTCCCCTCCCTCCTCTGCTGTCGGGCCAGCCAGGCCGCGCCCTCAATCTATTTCGATGAGGTCGTGTCCATTCAATTCAACACGCTTCCGACTCTGCCTTCAAGTTTGCTGGCCAACCGGCCCCACACCGTGTCCAATCGTGCTTAGACAAGCTCCAATTTAGAGCCGGCGTCTGCCGTGGCGCCACTTAAGGCTTAGCCGCCATTGCCGTGGGCATTACCCACCTAGTTTTCCTGAGCCCAATTGGTTGCACCCCCATCCATGCCTCGTAGCCCTCCTTGACGTGCGCACCTTAGCCGAGCCCTCACTGCTTCCCTCTCGGTGCCGACACGGCCATGTCTGCGCAGCTCACCGTCACCTTACCACGTGCACGTGGCCGGCTCGACTGGGGCAGTCTCTGGACGCACCACCACTTTGGGTGGGATCACGGTGAGACTCTATAGCTTATCCATTGACTATATTTCTTCTCTGGTGGCGGAGCTTGGCTGAACGGAGTTGCTGCTGTCGCAGGTTGTCCGCTGCCGGGGAGGGGGCTCTGGACCACATCTCCGATCGTTGCTTCGCCGCCCATCGCTTCACGTTTGCACCTAGGTGAGCATCGGCTCGCTATTGGGGGCGGGGAGAGGCCAAGATGGGCGGCGTGGCGGTCTTGTGCCAGCGCCGCCGCGCTGTTGCGCGTGGGTGTGGCCGGAGGACCTGCCTGTGGTAAAAAGAAAAGGGGAACGGATGTGTTTGTAAAAGAACTGACTGTAGGAATAGTGTCGTGGGTCGCAGGCTGATTCACCGGTTGGTTAAGGGGATTTTCGCATAAGTGACCGGCGCGTGCGGGCCTCCCCGTCATGGGCCATGCCGCACGGTTGGCCCATGCCCTGCGCGTGCGTGGGCCACGTCGCTCGCTCGTGGGCCACGCGGATGGATTTTGGTTTTCCTTTTCCAGGGAATTAGTAAATGTTTATTCAATTTAGTTTTGAGCTGATCTTTGGAAAATGATAGTAAATTCTGTAGGTGTCCAAAAATAGTGAAACAAAATTTGTTAGGTTCATAAAAATGTTATCTATCTGTTGGTGTAGTTAGTTTACAGTTATCTGTGATAATAATAGAATCATTAATTCGTTTAGAAACGCTTAGTATTATTTAGCTTAATATTTGTAGGAATTTTTGTGGTAAATTGGTGATAGCTTTAGCCATAAAATTTTTATAGTAGGTTCATTAGATTATTATGTGCTCACTATAATTTTTGTAACCCTAGAGTAGGTTGATAAATAGAGTAGCTAGTACTCCTTGTTTTATCATATATAGAGTAGATCGATATTAAGAATAGGAATGCCTTTAGTTGCTAAGATAATGCATGCAATGTTTCATACCTGTTAGTGGTAACAATAGGCAACTTAGCATCTTAGTCCATAGAGCTAGCTTAGTAGTTTGATAGCTGTATTTTATTTTAAGAGTTGTTGTTGCCGTATTACTAAGTGTTGCATCATCATTTCATGCATGTAGATAACGAGTTAGTTGAGTTCGTGCCTACGGGTGAATAGGAGTATGAGGAGATCATTGAGGAGTACGAGGAGGAGTTTCTCATACAGGAGGGAGCTCCGGAGCCATCAGTTGCTGACTTTGTTGACTCACCACCTGCCCAAGGCAAGCTCCGGTGCATAACCCTTATTTTTGAATGATCGCTGAATATATATATATGATGTGCATTTACGTTACAGGCATTTTATGGAAACTACATGCATAAATAAACCTACCTATGAGTCCTACTAGCATAGGTCGAGTAGCTGCTATGCTCAGGATTTCGGTAGCGTGAGTAACCTGCCGTTACTCACAATATGTGATTATTATGATTACTTATGGTAAAATGGTGGAAAGAAAAAATAAAGACCGGACAGGGATATGCTATGGGTATTGGTGGGTGTAAGAGGTTGTGTCATACGGCCAACGGGACATAACTTGGTTACACTTTTTACCTGTCTGTGTCGGTTAAGGACCGGCCGTTGCATTGGGTTCTAGGCAAGTCACAGACTTATTATCTCGAGCACATACTTGGGTATGGGCGTAGAGAAGGCTTGTTGCTCTCTTGTCGTGGGTTCAGGCTCTTTTTGGACCGACCGATTAGAGGCGGGATGGTGAAGGTCTAAGCACCGCACTGAGTTTAGGACTCAGGAGCGGGGGCTTAGAGTCCAAGTTTGGACGGAGACATAGACCCCATGACAGGAGAGTGATGGATTGGTCCTGCTTGTGCCTAGGGTACAAGCGGGATGTGTGTTTCGGGGTACCCGGCTGGGCATATTGATTCATGAATCACCGGTGTTTTGGTATGGCTTGTCTACAGTCTAGCACCATAGTAAGAACTGAAAGATGAAAGGTGATGAAACGAAACTGTTTGTTCAACTCTTGCTTGAAAGTAGAATAGGTGCTTACATATAATGGCTAGATAATGAATTAATCATGACTGCTAATAATAACATGAATAAGGATTCACTATTAGTATTGCTTTCTGCAAAAAGAGAACCCAGCAAACTATAAAGCTTATCATATCCCTTGGAGTCAGAAAATTATTCCCACTAGTCGGATAAGTCTTGCGAGTACATTGTGTACTCAGGGTTTATTTACCCCTGTTGCAGGTACTGCTTGAGAAGTAGCCGTTGTGTGAAGGATTCATCTGTGGGCACAGACAGATCCTTGTATATTATCGATAGATGTGTCTTTTTATTCCGCTGTTAAATTTCCGCACTCTGAATTTGGTACTATAATAATATATTACTGAGAACTCTGGATGTATGAAATGGACTAAGCAATGTAAACTCATTCTCGTTATTGGATCATGCGGGAAAAAATATGGATTATTCGGGCTCTCCTTAGGGTGTGCTCGATGGAATCCGCCTGATGTAACTCGCTCTCGGGGTGCTTAGTGTCTAGTGAAAGACGAGCGCCCCCGTAAGTGCGTTATTTTCGGATGGTTCTGCCACACATTTAGATGACGATAATGGACACAAAAGCACCAACTGTTGTCTTTCTTTTTAACTAACAGTACTGGAGATGCGAAGGCACTGTTTCTTTTCTGAATGATGCCCTGTTGAAGCATATCTGTCACCTGTCGCTCAATTTTAGACTTCAACAGAGGAGCATAGCGATCCGGTGTGACGAAAACCGGTTGAGCTCCTGGTATCAATGGAATGGAGTGATCACATTGGCGATGTGGTGGTAATCCAGTCGGAGGCTCAAACAGTGAAGCATACTCAGACAACAGTTCCTGAATGGTCGGAGGGATGGAATCTTGAGACCTAGAGGAACTAGCAGTATCTGTGACCAAGCATAGTTGCAAGACTGAACCCACTAGTAAGTCGGGAGCATCACCGAAGAGTACCACTGTAGAATTGTCATAAGGGATAGAAATCCATTTCTGTGCCTAGTGAACATGCATAGGACTAAAGCTAGACAAGCAATCAAGGCCGAGTATCATATCATATGAAGACAAGTCCAGAAGCTTCAGATCAGTTGAAAAAGAATAGCCCTGCACTGACCAATTAGCTATCGGAATGTGTGATGTACAATGCAGACGAGCGCCATTAGCAACCTGAACCTGAATGACAGGATGGAGCTTCTGAATGCCTTGCAAGGACTGAGCGACGGATGAGCTGAGGAAGGTACGTGAGCTACCAGAGTTGACCAAAATAGACAATGGAATGCCTTGAATTGTGCCTGAGAGACAGAGAGTTTTAGGTGCCTGAGCCCCAGCCATGGCTGCCACTGAAATATGCATCATCACTTGAGAGTCAAGCGAATCAGGAGAAACAACTTCAGCATCATCTGAATCATTCAGAAACATATTCAATAGCTCTTGAACAAGATGTAACTGCACCACCTCAGAACACTCGTGGTCACGGCTCCATTTGGCACCACAGCGAATACACAACCCCTTTGCACGGCGCGAGGCACGCAGCGCTTGAAACCGGGCTTCAACAGTAGAATGAGCTGTATTAGGCGGCCTCTTGACATCATCGGCACCTTGCTGGATTGGTGGTGCGGGCAGAGGCAGAGCACCCGGCCACGCCGGCTTGTGTGGTGAATGATGATAACACCAAAATGGCTTATTAGATGCGACCAATGCCTCCTCCTGCAATTGGGCGAGAACACAAGCAGTATCCAAAGTAGAGGGACGCTGAACAAGAATTACAACTTTGATTTTGTCTTTAAGGCCATCTATAAAACGTTGGGTGTAGTATAGTGGGTCAGGATGTTTAGCATAGGCATTGAGGTCATCAACGAGAGCGACAAATTGATCAATGTATTCATTGATAGGGCCGGTTTGCCGAATCTGAAATAAGCGACACAGCAGTAGCTCGTGCTCACCCTTGACAAAGCGCAACAGCAACTGTGAACAGAAATCGGACCAAGTGATGGCCTCTAGCTGATCCTCAACTGAAGAGAGCCAATGTTTTGCCGCGCCATGAAAATGCATAGTGACAGCTTGAATCCAAACAACGGACTCAATACGATAAAGCTCAAAGTAGTGAACGGCTTGCTTGATCCAAAGCTTAGGATGATCCCCCTCAAACCTAGGGAAATCAAACTTGGAAAGCTTGCCGATATGGCCGCCCCCAGAACCCCCCTGATGACATGACTCATAATGACCTCCTGGGTATGGCTGTGGTTGGTATGGTGGTGGTGGGCGTGGAGGAGGACATGGCAATGGATGAGGGGAAGGAGGATGGCAAGGAAACGTACCCTTGTCGGGAGGTAGAATCAGAGTGGTGGCCACTCTGAATTCACCTTCCCGGTTCCCGATTTCAACTCGGTGCCCGTTGGGTCGAGTGGCTGCGTATCCCGCAGGTGGGCGCGGGGCAACCTGGGAGTCGACGTAGCCGGGCGACTTGAAGTTGGGGCTGAGGACGGCGTCGTGGATCGACGCGCTTGGTGACGCAGGAGCCGACGCCGACTTGGTGGCGGGCGCGGTCGCGAACACCCTGGGAGTCGCTGACGGCCCGTCCACCATTAAGCGTTCCATGTACTTGGAGATCTTCCCAACTTCGAGCTTCAGGGTTGCGAGCTTGTTGACCTCGATGCGAAGGTCGTCGATGCCGCCGTCAGCTCCAAGGCGCCATTCGTCGAACACCTTGGCTGCAGACTCGAAGGCATCCAGACGGGTGGAAGACGTCGTCGTGGTGGAATCCAGCTTCCGCTCCAGGCCATCGAAGCGCTTCTCCTGGGCGGTGAAACGCTTGTCGAGCTCGGCCAGGAGCGCCTTCTGGTTGGGACCCATGGCACCACGGCTGCGTTGGAGACAAGTGTAGTGGTCGTGATCGGCGGGGTTAGCGGGCTCCAGATCCGCGGCGCACTCCACAAACCGCAACTCCGGGACCGGAATTACGGAATCCTCGAATCAAGCTGCAGCTCACAAACTCGATTTAAGGTTAGACCAACCAAATCCGTTGGAATCAAGCAGTCGATGGGATGTAGTGACCGGCGATCAGAGGAGGCCGAGGAACGGTGGCTCTGATACCACTTGTGAGAGATAGCGGTGGGAAATTGGAAGAGAAGGGGAAGGATTGGAAGAATGAGTCGTCGGGGAAGAAGAACAGTGGGGGATGGAAGGACGAGTTCTTCTTAGACGAGTAACAGAATTCGGTTTTCACATAAGCTGATCCTTTCTTCCTCTCCACTCTTGCTTATATTACAGGGGCTTTGCCTCGCGACGCGCCTGCAAGCGCCTAACGGGTCCAGGTATCGCCAGTGTACTTGGTATTGGTCTTCTTGGCCCTCTGTTCTTCAGCAGCTGCGTCAGCCCGTGTAGGAGAGCTGCTGACACCGTGGACCCGTGCAATTGTCTGCATCATTCATGGCGGCCTGGCCTCTGCTCTTACCGTTACAAATAAAGCCTCCATCAGTGAACGAACTCAGGACTGGGTCGCTACTAGCTAGGTGTCGGCCGTACATGCGCTAGCTAGAACGGCGGCCGGCCTGCTGCTGCTAACCGGGACTGGGAGGTGGTTTAATCGCTGTGCGACGTGGCCCGCCCATCCGGCCATCCCTGCTCCGGCAGCCCCGCGTGCCTCTGCCTCCGACCCGCGGGCTGCATCTGCGTGCATGCAGCCTGCGGGCGGGAACCGGGGACCGTGGTCCGTGGCCCGGCCGCGCGCGGCACAACACGAACACACGCCACACGGAGCCAAGGCCTGCCCCGACGACCGCCGTGCATGCGCTCGCCGGTTCCGTTTCCAGCCGCGATAGATACACGCCCCGTGTCCATCTCAGATGCCTCCATGGACATGTGACGGAGATCGTACCGCTTGGCACGTCCTGTCGATATACTAGACGCCATCTATCCGTGCATGCTGCTCCTACCGAAAGGTGTCTGATGAAGCTGAACTATGGTGTCTTTTCGCCGATCCTCATATACGGCACGCATGATCAAATATCATAGGCATGCAGCCATCAGCCAGTCCTCCAGCATGCCTCTTGCCTACCTTTTTTGCCTCTTGCCTTCCCTCAAATTTTTTTGGCACTACCAGGTTTCATTAAATTCAGATGGCAAAAACTAATTGCATAGTTTGATTGTACTTGCTACGCTTTGAGCCTAATTAGTCAATAGTTGTAAATTATACCATATATACAGCAGGAGTAATAAATCAGGCGCCAACTTTGGCCGGAACTAAACGCGCCTTCGTGTTCATGTAGTAGATGTAGACTAGTAGTAACAGGAGTACGTGTACGTAGTAGATGTAGACTGGTAGTTGCCGTGGTCTTCGTCCCTGCAGGCTGCAGGCACCGCAGCTAAAACCAATTCAAAAAAAAATACTAAAGTAAACGACGGCCCTGTTTGAATGGGCCGGGAGAAAGCACAGTGGCGCGTGGTGTGGGAACGCAAGTCATTGAGGCCCTGTTCGCTTCGTAGGGAATGACCTCCCGGTAGAATTCCCTGTCGGATCGTTACTTTCATTCAGGCCTCGTTCGTTTTGGCTGGAACAGCCCGGAACGTGGCCCATTCCAGGTGGATCGGCCTGACTCAGAATCAATCCTAGCCCAATCGGGAATGGCTGCTCGGTTAATTTAGGGCTGAATTGTAGCCGGTACCTTTCTGGCGTTTTCCCTGTCTCATTCCACAGGATCAATTCCTGGCCTCCTACCCTCGAGAAGAAAAACAGGCCCGTTTTCAACATGTTCACCAGGTTTTAGTGAACCACTAGGATGCACTCAATCTAGCTCACGAAGGAAAACAGGTCCATTTTGAATACGGAACAAGCCAACAATGCCTTATATTAGCTTTCTAGGGCCGAAATCGTTCATGAAGATTAGAAAAACATTTGGGTCCGTTTTTCGAATACGGAACAAAGATTCCAACAATCAAACCTTATAATTAGCTACATTTAATACTCCAGGGATTTGATGAAATCGTTCCTGGCGTCGAATCGGCTCAAACGAACGGAGCCTGAATTGGATGCTGGCACTCGCGGACCGTGCTCGGTCGGCGACGGGAAATGAAATCAATCCCTGGCAATAAAATAAACCAGTCCCTGCGCCCTGACAGTTTCACATGCCAAGCACAGAGCGCCAGAGCGCCGATGGGCGACGGAAAAGCTTTCTTCCAGAGGACGATTTCGGCGTGCGGTCCGCTGGGCACTACTGGGAGGCTCGTCCATGATTGCGCCATGATGCCGCTGATCGTACCGTGGTAGGCGCAGATCCCGGCACCGCGACGTGGGTACAGGGCCACTGCCAGTCCGTGTGTCCGCGCGCTGCCCTGCCCACCATCTCTCGCCTCGCCTGCCGCGGTCGCGAGCGCGGGAGGGGCAACGGAACGGAGCGGTCTCATCCGTGCTTCCTAGGAGTACTGTACTTGCTTGGTCTGTAACGATGGAGCTAGAATGAGTCTAGGACTCCTAGCTAGGATCGGACAACGGCAGCGAGGCGTGCCGGTGTCGAGCGCCATCAGCCGGAACGGAGCTTGTTTCGTCGTCTCCGCGCGTGCGTCGACGGTGATTACTCGATTCGGAGGCGGAGGAGCGATGCACCGGCCGGGCGCGCGCGGCAGGGGAACCGTTTTGCGTGGGGTGTCCGCGCATTCCATGAGTCCACGAGCGAGGTCGTCGGGCCACCAACACGAACACTCTCTTCGAGCGCGTGTGCCCTTGTCTACCTCCTGGACCTACTCCGTAGCTAATAAGCTATAGCTTTCATCAACGCCCGGCTCACGTTCACGGCGACCATAGCTTGTCTTGAAGGGTGGCACTACGTTTGGCTTCTGTCTTGAACAACGAGCCAGACACCGGAATTTGCATTGCCGGTGGATGGAAAGACCGAGACCTAGGCCCTAGCTACAGATGCTGCCAAGAGCTGATGAGCAGCAAGAGACAACAGCCAGTAGATACAATTTTTTTTTATAGGAAAGATACTAGTAGTACTCCTAAGGACGAAGTGTTTGGCTAAGGACCAAATTGTAAGGGCCCAATAATAAAGTGTTTGGCATTGCCGGAATTTGCATTGCCGACCGAGACCTAGGTTTAATCCATGTATCCAATGATTTTATTTTTAAGAAAATTATTCGCAGTAACACGCGGGGTATGCTTCTAGTGTATGTATAAGGAACATTTTGGTCCCGTTCGTTTCGCTGAAAAAACAGACCGAAACATTGTTCCGGCTGATTTGTTGTGAGAGAAAAACACTATTCCGGCTGAAAAAAATAAACTGAAAAGTACGGATTATAAGACAAGCGAACAGGGCCTTTATTGTTAAATTTACTCATGTCTCATCTTCTCTTTCCTAATCCTTCTCATATTCACTTGATATATAGGTCCACCACTACATATGTTTTCGTGCCTAGTTTGTTGCTTGCATACGAGTTAAACTCTTCTCTCTTCTCTCCTCCGTATCATCATTTGTTTGGCTATAATATGCCAATTATTATACTTGCTCTAAAGAGTAAACTGTACCGTGGCTAGCTACTCAAACTTAGGCTATGTCATTTATGCCAGTTTGAATAGAGTTTCAAAGGAACTTCACTCTCATTTAATAATATGACACATCTAGGTAAAACTCGTTGCCACAGCTACCAACACAAAAGCTGACGTGATAGTCTTGTTAACTGTGTCATGAAACTCCCCATTGAAACTAGCCTTAGGGCACTCGCAATAATATGCAGAAACTACCCAAGTTTCTATGTGCGTTAATTAGACTGTCACCTAAGTTTTTGTTAACGTGGTAAGGTAATTACTAAAGAGAGAGAGAGAGGGGAAAAGAAAGGAACTGTTTCTTATGACGAAACAATGTCTTCACATCTATCGAGATCATAGAAACCACTCATTACCGCGTTGGGAGGGATAGACGGGTTTCTTGCTCCTTCCTCTAGATCTTGTGTGTCGCCCCCAACTTCCTTCCCCCTTGCGCGCTCATTCGACCCCGCCCTCCCTCCCCGTGTTGTCGCCAGTGCCCAGTGAAAGCTGGCGTGCAGAGCTCACCTCACCATGGTCTCACCATCCCCCGTGTGGTGGAGGGCAAGGAGGAAGAAAGCGGTAACAGAGGATCCAGGGGAGGAGGGGTGAATGATTGGATAGATCCAAGGATAGAGAAGTTGCATCGTAGAAGATAGATTTTTGACACATTGTTCTAGGGTGTAAAAATTATTTCTGGTTTCTGCATTGAGGGTGCCCTTAGGTTCTCAAACCACCCAAAATGTATATCCAGGTCCCAAACTTAATATAACCTTGTCACTTGACGTCCAAATCAACACAACTTTAGTTGATCCATCTACGCAGCGCACCGATTGTGAGATGATGTTGCATCAACCTGTGGGGTCCACATTCCAGTGACATGCCCCCTCCCACCCACCATTCTGGTGCCATGTCATTGTGCGATCTGCGATCAACTTGCCACGCAAGCGATTGACTCTAGTGTTTGTAATTTGGACATCATACGACACAACTAGTAAGTTTAGAGATCTAAATATGCATTTTGAAAGTTTAAAGATTTGGGTAGCACCCCGAGCCAAGCTCGAAGACCCGCAAAGCATCTATGCTGAAATTAGCAATGATGGGTCCGAATGTGTGCTCACTACACCGCCAAAAGGATGAAATTTTAGAATAGTGTTTAGTCAAACTATCTTAAATTTAACTAAATAAGTATCATTATACTTGCATTGAAATATACTTCCATACTATACCAATTTATTAGAGTATTAAATGTTGATAATATTTTTCATAAACTCTGTCCAACTCAAGTTAGTTTGAGTTTGACTGAATTGTATTTTTTTTTTAAGATGATGAAGTA